ATAATAAAAAAAAAAAAACAGAAACTAATTTTTTTCTCCTATACTATCGTTATTAATTGCTATATTGAGTTTTTTTTTACCTTTTTTCTTGTTTAAAATGAGATTTTGTTGATGTAGTGATTGTTAATTACTTATAACTTCAACAGGTGAAGTGTAATATAAAAGTTGGTGGATTCAGATGGATTTAGCAAATATGTTGTAGGGCAGAGCGAAAACTTTAAGTTTACTTAGTACGTTTTATCCCCTTAAGCAAGGAGTTAAAGTACCTGAGCTTCTGAAAAAAGTATTATAAAACGTATAAAAAAAATTTTTTTATCAATTGGATCGTCTGTGTAACATGGATGGTCCTACCTCGAATCTTATAATCTAAAACAGATTTATACAGGTTTTTTACGAAAAAAACTTAGGTATAAATCAAGGGGCGGTAAAATTTTTACTGATAACATCATGACCGTGGGAAATTTTTTAAAAATATTATCAAAAATGCTCGCTAGGTATGTTTGGTCTCCATATTTGGAATAAGGAGTTAGAAGGGAGAAAACCGTACGTATCGAATAGATTACATATATTACGTATATTACAGTATTATATTACATAAATTATTTATTTATAACAACTGGTATAAGTAATTAATTTGATATGATTTGATCATATTTTGATTTCTCCTAACCGAACCAACTTTTTCAACACCCTAATTGTTGTAAAGGAAATAAAACCTTCTCGACCGGAAAACACGGCTCTTGCCAAGGAAATTTCAAGAAGGCGAAGTAGTGTTGAGTGCTTTTTCAAAGCCCATTCTCTTGAACAGAGACTTTCTATCCAGGCCAAGTCAATACTTTAGTTGTTATTAGAAGGCTAACACAAAGGGGTATTGGTAGACGAGATTGAAGCCCAGAAATACATGAATACAGACAAGCCTAATATCAAATGCCAAAACTATCATAGAAAAGTAAGTGGAACAAGTCATTAGCTAATCAATATTTCCAAAGGATTAGTGCTAAAAAAAATTTTTTAATAGATCACTGCTATGAACGTGACTTTAAGTATTAACAGTTGGGCATATAACACATGCCTGTAAAAGAAAAATCTCAAAAGAAAAAAAATAATAATAACAAAAAATGCAAAACACAAAAGGTATAAACTCGTCTAACTGTAAAGTAAGTAATATACTCAATAACGAGTTTTTTTTATTAGACAATGGATACTAAAAATAAGAAAAATTTAATAGATCACTGTTATGGACGTGTTTCAAAGAATTAGTTGTCACGACAGTTGCGTGCGGGTGTGGGCACATAATACATACCTTCCGGATCATATAAAAAAACCTACAAAAGAAAATTTCAAGGCAAACAAAAAAAAAAGCTAATAAATAATAGACGTGAGTATAGGTGGCAGGTTGTTCACGACATAGTTGTACGCAGATATGGAGCGTATAACACTGTAAAGTAAGTAATATGTTTAATAATGAGTTTATTTTTTATTACTGTATTAGACAATGGATACAAAAAATTAAAAAAAAATTAATAGATCACCACTATGGACATGACTCTAAATATTGGTTGGTCACGACGGTTGTGTGTGGGTTTGGGGCATATAACACATGCCTCCTGGATCGTATAAAAGAAAAACCTACAAAAGAAAACCTCAAAGCAAACAAAAAAAAAGCTAACAAATAATGGACGTGACTATAGGTGGCAGGCTGGTCACGACATTGTTGTGCGTGGGTGTGGGGCATATAACACGAAAGGCATAAACTCGTTTAATTGTAAAGTAAGTAATATATTCAATAATGAGTTTATTTTTTATTAGACAATGGATACTAAAAATTAAATTTTTTTTTTGGACGTGACTTTAAATATTGGTTGGTCACGACAGTTGTGTGCGGGTGTGGGGCACATAACACATGCCTCCCTGATCGTATAAAAGAAAAACCTGCAAAAGAAAATCTCAAAGTAACAAACAAAAAAAAAAAAGAACGTAGCTCCAGGTGGCAGGCTGGTCACGACATAGTTGTACGTGTGGGGTGTCTTGCTTCCCAATCCCAAACTATTATAGTTTGGGTTTGTTTGTGCCAAATCTCAAGCCCAAACTAATATCTCAAAAACTTTATTAATAATCTTCATTTAACAAATTATATATATATTTTTATAGCTATATATAATATATTTACAAAATATTAGGATTATTTTTTTGATTTAATTTTTTATAAAAGCAATTTGTTTTTTTGGAGTATGGGGTTTTGCCACCAAGTATAGAGGTTATGCATATATTTGGGCCAGAGGTTGAGCGTGCATTTGGAGAGGGTGTGCATTTATAGAAGTTTCACTGTATATAAAATTTATATAAAAATTTATTTGGATATTATGGCATATAAAAATTACTTAATTATAATATATAAAATTTATAAATATATAACAATTATATAATCTTTTTATATAGAATAAATTTTTATATTTATTAAACAATATATAAAAATTAACATATATAATTTTTATATATATAGTATTCTATATAATAACTTTATAAAGTTGTAAATCTATTAGAATTTATAAAAAAATAACGATAGCAATGATTAATTCAAATGGTTTAAAATTTATTAAAAACTATTTAAACCAAACAATCATAAATTAAAATACGGTCGATATGTTGTGAATTTGAAAATGAGTTGCGGCAGACCGAAACTTGATTTTTAGAAACGTTAGATCAAATTTATCTAAAATTGATCGTATGTGCTCTCCGATTTCGTATTCTGTATAGGTCTTTATCATTCTTGATGTCCTGTCATTCATTGCTCGTTAAATTTGCAATGACTTTGAGGTATATAAAGAAGAATGTTGTGAAGAAAAAACAATATAAATATTATAAAGAATTAAATACATTTTATAAACGATAAGTTATATTATAATGAAATTACTAAAATAGCTACCGAAAGTTTTACATAGTAAATGAATACTTCATAAATATTTAATTCGATACAAAATACATGAATGATATGTAAAGAAATTTTAAGCGAACCAATTTTGCGTATTTCAGTATGACGCATTATGATAATAACAAAACCAGTCAGAGTCATTTAAATTTTACGCGACTCAATTTTAAACTTACAAATTATAATCCTGCGGAGTTAATAAAATGGGTCCTGTTTAGGGACTTATCAAACACCCGTTATATAATTAATAGCCAAATCAAAAATAATACCGTAAAATACGGACACCATGGCGTGTGCCCTCTACCAGTTTTAAGAGCCTGTTAGTGATTTATACCCGGGCACATGGGTATTATACATATTATATGTATCGTCCCAGGTAGATATAGTAAAACATATTGTCTCAATACGGCGCACCCCTCATATAGAGGTACTCCGGGTACAATGAAAATACCCGGAGTACACGTGACCGTATTTTACGGTAATTGTCGCGGATGATGGTGAAATCAGATGATCGTGAAATATGGGGCCTTAATTTAAAAATATAAACCCTACTAAAACCCACCTATACTCTTTTATTATAAACCCTAACCCTAAATCCTTAGTCTAAAAAGTTTTAAAAATCGCATATTAAATAGGGTTTTCACGATCATCCGTGACAATAAATAAAAGTAAAAATATATCCGATATAGTTCGGTACAACTTTTTAATATATAATATTCTTTCATAGTGAGACAAGTTTTTAACGATTGATCAATAAATATCTTGGAAGAAAAATTCTTATTTCACCAACAATGAAATATACGGCATATCGTTTACAATGCGTAAAATGCTAATACAGCATAAACGAAACATTATATTACCAGGAGTGATTGAATACTATACCATGAACTTGAATTGTTAAAGTTATGAAGCCGAAAGGATTCTTTTACATCTACCATTAATTGACGTAAAGGCAGAGTATAAATAACTTTTAAAAATGCTAACGTCTTAGTTAACTGCATGAATGTAGGTTCACCAATATAATATCTAAGGTATTAATAGAGATTGAATATTCAAATGTGTTTAAGGGAAGTGCCGTTTATTACGTAATTTCTTTTTATTATAAGGTCATAACCCCCTTTGTGATCGCATTAGCAACAATCATAATTTTTATATATAATATACCCTCTTGAAATTACTAATAAACGGCACTACCTAACAGAAGGACATGGTATTTACTTATGATAGAATTATAGTATATTTTATTATAAAATTCGGGGTTTTTGGTCATTTTAGATCTAAAATTCATTTAAAAGGATTTAGAATCTCTAAGTATTCTGTATCTACCTACTTCATACAAATTCTAAATAAAAATATGTTTATAAATCTTAAACATCTATTACAAAACGCACCTATTTAATTATGTTTTTTTTTTTAGATTTTTCTGTTTTGAATATAAAAAGTTTTCAACATGAAATTTTCATGATAGTGTTAATATTTAGGGTTAGGAAAGGGTTTTTAGGGGCGTAGAGCATTTTTATTTAGGACATCTTGCACTGATCAATTAGCCAGTTTTAAGATAATATATACATAGGTGTAAAACACCATAGGTGCGTTTTAGTAAAAGCCAATATTAAATATAATCAATATGATAATATATTTTTTTAATGAAAATCTTTGACATATTTTTATAGATTTGAAATTTTTATTGTACTTTAAGTTTATTTAAGACATTTTAAATAAATTCGAAATTTTTTAGTTAAAATATGGTTAGGATTAGAAACTATTACGACTTATGCCGTAGCTTTAGACAGTTACTCTATAAGTTGTAATAGTTTTGCTTATCTCTTGTTAGGATATACATATGGGCTAGGTGCTGCGAAAAGGGACGAAATTGACAAAAACAAAAATCTTCAGAAAATCAATTTTTATGTTGTAAATCTTATAATAAATCATAAGAAAATACAACCTTTAAGAAGCTATATTGCAAAATTTTATTAACGCAACTACTTTTGTGTCTTAAGTGAAAAAATGATCCTATTATTATTTTAAATTGATTTATATAAAAAAACATCTTTTGAAAAATTGTCAATTTCGTCCCTTTTTCGCAGCACCTAGCTATACATGCCGTAGAAATTAGTTTCGGTTGTGCCGAAAGTATTTAGGCACCGATTTTTCGGCAAAAATAATGCCGCATGTTATAATTTATGCCGCAATCCGAAACAAAGCCGAAATCCAAAATACATGCCATAATCTAAATTAATGCCGCAATTTGTCTTATAATAATTTATAGCTACTATATTATAATTTATACGTAACAAATATTAATTATACTTCGCGTATTATTTGAAAAGGTTGTATCGATACCAGAATTTGCATCTGACATATTCAAATCATGAATTATATGATAGAATATTATATAAATTTATCATTATATACATTTAATATGTACAGCAATAAAAAGCAATTTATAATTATTTCTTATTTATTATTACGAAATACATTTACTTATTTAGCAATGCACAAATCACTAAATTATCCACCAAAGCGACAATTTAATAATGCTCAGATCCCTGTTATCACCAAAGCGTCAATTTAACAATGTTTAATAAACATCTAAGTTATCCACCAAAGTATCAACATCGAATTCCATATTACCGTGACTTCGTCAAATTTGTTTTCAACAAATTTAGAATTATTGCCGTCTAGAGGCTGTACTATGAAATTCGATGAATTTAAATCCATTGTGTTACCAATAATTAGCAATTTATCTTCGATTAAAGTTGTATCGTTTCTAATTTCCTCATCTAATATAAAAAGTTCCTCAGTTTCATCTATCATAGTTACTTCATTTTCGTCCTCATCTTTCAATTCCATAGATATTGTTGCATTTAAAACTTTTTATCGCAATTAATCTAATTCTTAATTCTAAA